TCAAAGGGAAGGTGCCCTCTACGCTTTGATTACGCAGCGTGTCCAAATGGGAAGCTTGAATCGCCCTGGAATTTTGGAGATTATAACAAATTGACCTGAAGTCTGGCAGATGAGGAAGAAGAAGAGCCAGTGAGTCAAACTGAAGAAGCTCCACCATATAATCAGCTGCCAGGAGAAGAGAAGTGTTATGCCCTTTTCACTGATGGTTCTTGCCGTATTGTAGGGAGGAACCGGAAGTGGAAAGCAGCCATTTGGAGTCCCACCTGACAAGTGGCAGAAGCTGCCGAAGGTAAAGGCGAATCGAGTCAGTTTGAGGAACTCAAAGCTGTCCAGTTGGCCCTGGACATTGCTGAACAAAAAGGATGGCCAAGGCTCTACCTCTACACTGATTCATGGATGATAGCCAATGCCCTATGGGGATGGTTAGACCGATGGAAGAAGATGAACTGGAGGCGTAGAGGAAAACCCATCTGGGCTGCTGACTTGTGGCAAGACATCGCTGCCAGAGTGAAGAAACTGAATGTGAGAGTCCACCATGTAGATGCCCATGTACCCAAGAGTTGAGCTAATGAAGAACATGATAATAACAGACAAGCAGACCAAGCTGCACAGGTCGAGGTGTCACAAGTAGACCTAGACTGGCAGCAGAAGGGAGAATTGTTCCTAGCTTGATGGGCCCATGATGCTTCAGGCCATCAGGGCCGAGATGCCACCTATAGATGGGGTGGATTTAACCATGGACACTATTTCTCAAGTTATCCATGACTGTGAAACCTGTGCCGCTATTAAGCAGGTGAAAAGACTGAAGCCCCTGTGGTATGGTGGACGCTGGGACAAGTATAAATACGGGGAGGCATGGCAGGTTGATTACATCACATTGCCACAGACCCGCCAAGGTAAACACTATGTGCTTACCATGGTGGAAGCAACCACCGCATGGCTAGAGACTTATTCAGTGCCCCATGCAACAGCCCGGAATACCATTCTAGGTCCTGAAAAGCAAGTCCTGTGGCAACATGGGACTCCAGAACGCATTGAGTCGGACAATGGGACTCATTTCAAAAATGATTTAGTTGCTACTTGGGCAAGGGAACATGGTATTGAATGGGTATATCACATTCCATATCATGCACCAGCTGCTGGGAAGGTTGAGAGATGTAATGGACTGTTAAAAACTACTTTGAAAGCACTAGGTGGGGGAACTTTCAAGAATTGGGATCAAAACCTAGCAAAAGCCACATGGTTAGTGAACACTTGGGGTTCTGTCAATCGAGCTGGCCCTGCACAAGCAGAATGTCTCCACATTGCAGATGGAGACAAAGTTCCAGCGATCCAATTGAGAGGTATGCTAGGGAAAGCTGTTTGGGTTGCCCCTGCCTCAAGCCAAGACAAACCCATTCGTGGGAGTCTTCACTCAAGGGCCAGGATATACCTGGTGGGTAATGAGGAAGGATGGAGAGATCCAGTGTGTGCCTCAAGGAAATTTAGCCTTGGGGAAAAACTAATTCTGTGCCTTGAGTTGTGTTTTATAGGAAGCCAGTCACCAGATGAGAAAGACCTGAACTAAGCTGATGATGAGACATCCCAGATGAGGCATCATCCAATGATGAGACAGCCCAGAATGATGAACCAGCCCTAAAACCAGAACTGTGTGACCGAGGAGGCCAAAGATCCGAACTGAACTGATGTTGGTGTTGATTTTCAACGACAAGACAACTGCTCCGAAAGAGAAACAAGGACTATATATATATATATGTATATATATGCGCGGGATATAGGCGAACGCAAGATACAGGTGTTACGTAAAGAAATAGTATGGAATAAGGGGTGGAGAATGTAATGGTTTTAAGTATTAGGCCTTCCTTCCTGGTCACCAGGAAGGAAGGAAGGAAGTATTCCATCCTATTCCTTTACGTAATCCAAACATATAAGTAGACAGAGAGAGAAGCCCCTTTCTCTCTTCCCTTCCAGTGGCTCTGGAGGTGCGAGTTCCCTGCTGTCGGTTCTGCTGTGTGGGGGAGTGAGGCCTGGTGAGGCCTTGTGGACCTTGGGAGGCGGAGGGTGCTGACGATCCTCCAGCGTGATTTCTGCTGTCCCAAGGAAAGTAGTAAGATATTCTTTTGCTAATTCTTCAGTTTGCTAGATCCTGAGTTTTTGATCGTGTATGTCTATTTTGTTTTTGTTTTTTTTTCCTTCCTGTCCTGGTTAGAACGGCTGGAACCAATTCATCACTGGATGGGTGTAACACAAAACTGTGTATTCTATAGCCTTCCATGCCATTTCCCAGAAACTGTTGTCAGTAGAGGCCTGCGAGGTGGGAAGATGTTCCTGTCCTCATACCCTTTTATAGAATTCCCCGCTCTGATACCCTTTTATGGAACTCCCCTCTCTGAGGGAGGGACTGAGCATCCTCATGCCCTTTTATGGAATTCCCTGCTCTGAGGGAGGGACTGAGCACTCCCGCCTGAACTGGAGAATATATAAACTGGGAGTTTCGGAACCTTTGCACCACTCGTGGGATCCAGAGGAAGACTGCAAACCACTGCTCTCAACCAGACTGAGACCACCACCCTCAACTGGACTGCAATCACCACTTTTTGACCAGACTGCAACAGCTCTCCCACCAGCAGGTTTTTCCCCTCTTCCTTTACTTTGGACTCGGGGGGGGCCAAGGAACACCACTTTTGTTCATGCCCCAGGGTGCTGGGTTATACATTTGGCTTTTGCGGGTTAAAACCACTTGTCTGTCTGTATAATTGTACCTATTGTATTATTTTAATAAATTGTTATTCTGACTTATAATCTCTCTTTTGAGTTGAGTTCATTTCCCCTGGTGGTTAACTTTTAAACCAGCACACTTCCCCCTTCCCTTTCCCTTTTGGAATTGTATATAGTATTTCAACTGTATATAACTGTAATATACGTATATACATTTATTTTAATATAGTTTGGCTAGTCTGGATTTTTCATAGTTTTTTTTCTTTTGCTCTTTGCCGGAGGTTTTTTTTGTGCTGGGTCTTGGGACTTGGCGGGGAACCAAATAAAACTTAAACACCGTCTCAACTCAACAGCAACAACAGAGATGCAAATGAAAGTCACTTAGCATTGCAAAGGTTAATACCAATACCTCCGATTTGGTACTGTCTGTAAACTTGCTGAGTGCACAGCTGATCACATTGTACAAATTGTTAATAAAGATATTCAATGATATTGTTGTCCACAAAAATTAGATTCATTACCCAGTGTGCAACAAGCCAATAATTACACACTTGAGAGAGAGATTGATTATTTATTTCAGAGTTGCGGAAGCCTGGGTGCTCAGTGGAATTCCACAAATCAAGCATGCCAGCTAATCAAAACTTTTTACTCTTTATACATTTCAGCAAACAAAGGAATTAGTGTTCATTGGCTACAAGTTACATAGTTCTCTTATTAATTAGTTTTCTGTTTTCTACTGGCTAACGATTCTCTCGCTTTTCATGCTAATTAGCCAGCATGTCCAGTCTTTCTCTTCTTTTGGGTCAGTGGTCTCTGAGTCAGTGGTTGTAGATCTCCCCCCACCAGAATTACCTTTTACCCAATTGGAGCTGATTTCTGCACAATTGCTGAGTTGACTTTATTAGTTTCTTCCATATCTTGGGAGTTCTACCAGGTGTCTTTGTGACTCATAAATTCTGCATTCTTTGTGTCCACTATCAGTGGACATACTTTTTCACAAACTTTGTTAACCTCCCCCTATGTCTGAGATCATTGAAGCATGTCAAGCCCTAAACTTTAATAAGGCAATTAATTTGTGTTTCTAACACATGGACATCACTTAGAGCTTGCTTGTTTGCTGCTATCTGTTTCACAGATTAAATCTCCCTTCTCTTTCCAGCACAAATCCAAAACATAGCCCCATACTAGCTACTATGAAGAAAATTAACTCTACCCCAAAACCAGCACACAGGTAGACAGAAAAGAGGATAAACGGGGTTGGTCACATGTAAAATGGGGCTAGTCAGGATGCTAGCCTGACTGAACCCTGCGTCTGATCACCGCAGTCTGTCCTATCTTGTTATTAAATCTTTTAACTATCTCTCTGCACAATCTCATTCCCTATCCTGTGTCTATGTGTGCTGCAAGGACTACGTGTCAGATGAGACCTGTGTGTGTGAGTGAAATTTGGTGCCAGCTACTGGAGTCAGACTGGGAGTATAGGCCTGTGGTGTCAGCTACTGGAGCAAGTGGGGATCTTTACCCTCCAGTCACTGGGGTAAGAATAATGTGTGCCCCAAAAAACAGCTACTGGGGGGGACTGGTGTGAGTGAGGAGAGTAAGGGGTTCAGTGCTGGCAGCTGGAGCAGGACTGAGGGTCACAGCCTTTGTGACTGGTGCTGGCTGCTGTAGAGGGGACTGATTGTATCTTCCCCAAACCTGGTGTGTGTGTGGGTGGGTGCACATGTCTATTTGCTAGCAAATGTCAAGTTTGACTAGCAAGCAAGTGGAGGGGCCTCGGGTCTAGGTTGGGGTATCAGGTGGGCAGAGAGTCCATGCTGGTATGCCATGGGGAACTTGCAAATGTGGAGTACCTGTGGGAAGAGTGTGTGTGTACATGTTTGCTAGCGAGCATCAAACTGGACTAGTCATTGAGTAGGGGACCTGTGAAGCAGGTAAGAGGACCTAGGATCCAGGCAAGGGTACCAGACGGACATGCCTTTAGTTGGGGGATCCGTGAATGTGCATGCGTTTGTGCATCTGGGAATCAGTTTGCCAAAGTGCGTGCCGTGACATCTCAGTCACAGCTTATATGACTGCATTACATGATTATTCATTTTCATTCCTCTCATTCCTGTTACATATTTATGACATTTCCCAACACTTATTAGCATAAATACATATCCTTATAAAGTGTCTGAGGGGCTTCACCGAGGGTCTCTGGTGGTCGTCTGTGTTTGGAGCCCCCAAAGTTCTTACTGACTGCCTTATGAACTTCTTTAAGGCAGTACTCCTGGTTATATATCAACCCAGCATTGCCTGCTTGGCTGCTTCAGCTCCCTTCTTCATTGTTTCCTCACCTTCCTTGGCTGATTTCTTTAAATTCATGTGGGCAATGCTTTACTCCAACAGATTCAATCCTGCTAGGCTCAGAGACCTGGGAGGCCTTACAAGTTAAAACTAAGGCAGAGAAGTCATTGTGTATCTCAGCCTTTTTCCCCATGTTCTTTATTATTTGGTTCCCTGCCCCATTGAGCATCAGGCCCACATTTTCCTTAGTCTTCCTTTTGCAAGTGATGATCAAAACAACAAAACAGGGAAGAAGGGGCCCCACCTCAAGTGTATGTATACAAATAAGGAAGTGTCAAGAGGACAGTATTATAGGGAAAGTTTTCAACCTTTTCCTGAGAAATCAGCATGACTAGGTGCCCATACAGAGTGCCTGTGCGCTAGCACAAGCAACATGGGGAACAAACAGGAGGAATTAGCGGTCTGTGGGTAGTTGCAGAGGATCACAGAGAAGCAGTGGGATAGCTCATAGGACTGGAGTGCTAAAATGGATGGATACAGACTTTTTAGGAAGGATAAGTGGAGAAGGCAAGGAGGGGAAATTACATGAAGGGAATTGCCCTTTATGTAAGAGAGCAACTGTAATTCATGGAGTTTTGCCTTTGGATGGATGATAAACCAGGTGAGGCCTTATAGGTTAGAATTAGAGGACAAACCAACATAGGTGATGCTATGGTGAGTGTCTGCTACCCAGCACCTGATCAGGAAAAAGGAGTAGATGAGACCTTCAGACAATTGGATGAAGCCTCATATGTTGTCTGGTCAGCAATTCCAGTTTCTCCTGCCCCATTTAGCAGTGCGTCCACATTTTTCTTAGTCTTCCTTTTGCTGTTTATTTACTTGTAGAATCCTTTCTGGTTGCTCTTCATATCCCTTTTATTGCCAGTTAAAATATATTTGGATAGTGAGAAACAAAGACAAAAAAAAAACCCTAGAACACCTTCCCCCCACTCCATCTTCTTCTCAGGCTAAATTTCACTCCTTCATTCCTGCTTTTCAACCTCCTTCTCCCACCAATAGTGCAGAGGAGGATGAGAAATGGAGTGATGTAGTCAGTCCATAACAGTTCCTCTCTGCCACTCCTTCATCCTCATTTTTTCCTTGCTCCAGTGTGGGACCTTGCCACAGGCCACAGTCCTTCAAGAACTGCTCCACCATGGTCCTCTTCACAGGCTGCAAGACCCTCTGCACCGGGTCTTGGAACACCTCCTCCCCCTCCTTTTTAACTGACTTTGGTGACTTACACTTTTTCCTCTCCCCTCTCTCTCTCAGCAGCATTTTAAACTTTCTTAAATATGTTTTCACAGAGATGCTACCAGCTTTGCTTATTGACTCATCTTCTTCCAGCAGTGGGTCCATTATGGAGCCAGCTGTAACTGGTTGATGACCTGATGTGTCAAGTGGCTGAATTACATGAGACAGTTCATAGGTTGCACTGTTGAGGACCAAGAATTGGAATGGGAACAATTCCAGAAATGGAAAAATATGTACAGCGATTGAACGGACTTTATGATGCAGACTTTATAGTTATTATGTATATACACATTGTATGTTTTCCCAGAATTTGTATCTTCCGGGCATGTCCCGGCTTGTTCACCTCCCTGCTCCTCTGTTTCTCTGCCGATTGGCTGGAGAAGCTGCAGAGAGGAGACAGCCCCCATTCGCCCTTTCCTTCCCTAGTTCCCCCTGCGCTCCTCCCCTTTTGCCCGTGTCCCTATCCTGGTTTGTCCCCCCGCCTGTCTGTCTCCTGCTCTGCCTTTTCCCCTACGGAGCTGATAAAAAACCTCGTGCGCGCTGGAATAAAGATTCTACCTGCATCCTACCTTTGCGTCCTGGACCCGTGCTGTGCCACGGCCCCATCCTCCCCTTTCGGACTGCGGCACTGCACAGTATTAGAGGGGCTGAAACAGATAGATACGTGGCTTTGGAACCATCCACCTACAATGGATACCACTGAGCCTGAGGCACCTTGGGCCCTGGTGACCCATAGAAGCAGGGCTCCAATTCCACCTCTACCCTCCAACATCCAGACCAAAACCAGATATGAAGCTTTAAATGTTTTAGACATCCATGAGCAAAGCCAACAAGGACAACCTGCACCAGCAGCACACAGTGATTACCATAAAGAAACATCAAGTGATTTTAGTGGGCGACTGTTAAGGGGCACTGAGGCCCCCATCTGCCAGCCTGATAGAGAGTCTCAAGAAGTATGCTGCCTACCGGGGGCTAGAATCTGTTATGTTGCCAAGAGGGTACCCCAACTTGTCAAGAGCATGGACTACTACCTGCTACTACTTTTTCATGGGAGTACAAATGATGCTGCAAGCCAAAAAATGGGCAGGATCAAGGAAGACCTGGTGATGCAGGTGAAAAACATTGGTGCCCAAGTCACCTTCTCATCTATCCTACCAGTTAGAGAAATGGGGACAGCCAGAAGCAGATGCATAGTGCAGATCAACATCTAGATTTGTGGCTGGTGCTGTCAAGAAGGTTTTGGCTTTTATGACGAGTTGTACTTTAATGATTGTAGCCTGTTAGGAAGAGATGGGATCCACCTATCTAAAAAGGGCAAGAGAATCTTTGGCAGTAGGCTGGCCAATTTGGTGAGATTCGCTTTAATCTGAAGGACTTGGGGGGAGGGGTTTGGGTCCAAAGTGGCAATGCTCATGCCATAGCTTCCTCCTGGGGAGTAGGTCATGCCAATCAGTACAGTGACATATGTTCCTTGACTGCCTCTCAAGATGAGGATCAAAGGGCTAACCACATCAAGGGTGTGTATGGCTGTAGTGAATCCTCTTACACCCCTTCTAGGGAACCTGGTTGCTTGATTACCTCTCTGAAGTGCCTGTACACAAACGGATGCTTGGGGAATATACAGGAAGAACTGGAAATCTCTGTGTGGTCACAGGACCATGATCTCATTGCAATTACTGAGACATGGTGGGATAGCTCGCATGACTGGAATATTGTCATGGATGGGTATGTACTTTTTGTAAAGGACAGCCCAGCGAGGCAAGGGGGTGGAATTGCTCTTTATGTGAGAGAGCAACTGGAATGTATTGAGCACTCCCCAGGGACAGACAAACGAGTTGAGAGTTTATGGGTGAGAATTAAGGGAAAGGCTAATATGAGTGACACTTGTGGGTGTTTACTACAGGCCACCTGATCAGGAGGAGGAAGTTGATGAGACTTTCTATGGGCAGCTGGAAATAGCCTCTCAATCACAGGCCCTGGTTCTCCTGGGGGACTTCAACCACCCTGATATTTGTTGGAGGGACAACACAGCTCGGCACACACAGTCCAGGAAATTCCTGAATGTCACATGAAAAGGGGGCATTTCCTCAACCTTTAGTGCTTTATTTGTCTGTCAGTGCCCCATGAAAGCTGAGACCCTTGTGCTCGACCAGTCTGTCAGTGTCCTGTTATGGGGACCCTTAACTGAACAGTCCTGCTGGATCGGAGGGTGATTTGACTGCCCTTTTCAGGGAACTACACCAACAACGTAAGGGAGACCCCTTTGCGGGTCTTCCCACTTTATTCGAGTGTGATACCCGCTGCCTGCTGCTGCTAGCACCCAGGAAGGACTCACACTAACAGTTTGCAGAATAACACTCTTTATTAATAGAAAATTGTGACAGGTCAAGGTTCGAGGGTTGCCAGTGATAGCATCCGACTGGAAAGATGTATTATGCCAGGCCTCCCCATATTTATATTTTGACCACTGCCCCCCCTACCACAGGGGCTTTACCCGCTTGGCCTGCTTGATTGCAGCGCATGTTTCACAGTTATGGATAACCTGGGAGACAGTGTCCATGGTTAAGTCCACTCCAGGATCACGAGCCCATCTGTATGTTGCATCTCTTCCCTGATGACCTGAGGCATCATGGGCCCACCAAGCCAGAAATAATTCACCCTTATGTTGCCAGTCCAGATCCACCTGAGACACTTTAATCTTGGCAGCTCCATCCACCTATCTTTTGTTGCGATATTCTTCGTTAGCTCGATTCTTGGGCATGTGTGCATCCACATGACGTACTTTTACAGCCGACTTCTCTACCTGGGCAGCGATGTCTTGCTACAATTCAGCAGCTCAGATGGGTTTCCCTCTGCACTGCCAATTGGTCTTTTTCCATCAGTCCAACCACCCCCATAGAGCATTTGCCACCATCCACAAGTCAGTGTAGAAGTAGAGTGCTGGCCATTTCTCTCATTCAGCGATATCTAAAGCCAACTGGACAGCTTTCAGTTCTGCAACCTGACTTGATCCACCTTGTCCCTCAATAACTTCTGTGCATCAACGTGTAGGACTCCATACAGCAGCATTTCATTTTCGATGTATCCCTACAATACGGCAGGAACTGTCAGTAAAGGTAGCATATTGCTGTAACAGATAGATAACATACAAATGCCAAAAATTATGTTTCGCCATTGTTTCTGCCTGTCAAAAACTTCCTACCAAAACTTCTGTGTCACTTTTCCACCAGAAGTTCTCACCAGAATTTCCCACTGGAGTCTTCCTGCCAAAGATCCTGTTGTTGTTTATGGTTACCTTATCTCTTCAAACATCTGAACAGGGCTACGTGCCAGGAGGCCATGCAGAGCCTCCTCTGAACACTATAAAAACTGAGGAGAAATTTGGGAAAAACAAGGAAAGAGGAGTGGGAAAGACACTTGGCTGTAGCAGCTGAGAGTTTTTCCCCCGCCTCGCCCTCACCTTTTTTCTCCTGCCACCGAAAGCTGCCTGCCCGTCACCAGAAGACTGGACCCCTGCTGTCTTGAAGTGGACCGGACTGAGACCCACCATGCCACCCTGGCCCTATTTCTGAGCGCTGAGAGGTACAGCGGGACCGAGGCCTCTGCACAACCTGAGGCAGGGCCGGCGTGAGCAGCGGAGCCCACATCCTGGACGCATTCCAGAGAACTGAAGCTGTGAAGGACCCCTGCGGCTAGAGATAACACCGAAAGCGGCAAGAGCCAGAGAAAAAAAAAGGCAGAAAACTGCTTTCCTCTCCCCCCCCCATCCTCCAGACCGGTTCAAC